GGCAACTGATGGGGCAGCAGACCCCCGAAGGGTGTCTTCATGTGCACCCCTTGGTCCCGCACCCAATGATAGATGGGGACGGATCACATGACAGCCTGCTGAGAACTCTACTCAATGCTATTGACCACCGCCTTCAATATCTTTCAGTTCAATCAGAATTGAATTGAAATGGTCCCCCCCCTCCCAGTCCTTCTTTGCTCTAGACTGGCCAAACCTTCATGAACCCCCCCCCTCCTCCTTTTCTTACTGTTATTCTTGTTATGAGGACAATCATTGACTGCAGCTAATTTAGAAGACCAACGACCAATGTTTTTTGTTTTCATTCCATCTCCGTTTTTCTTCACCCCGCACCCTTTTCTCAAAAGTATATTTTGAGCAACAGGGTGGAAAGGGGTGAGAAAGGACGGTTCTTTTGAAGAATCCTAGCTCCCTCTACTGTAAGAAGTTTGTTAAAGGTGCATCTCTGCAAAATGGGCCAGTTGCAAATAACAGGGGATTATTACTTATTGTTACTACAGTTCTCGACTTACAACAGTTCATTGTTACAACGACCCTGGAAAAAGTGACTTCTGACCGATTTTCACATTTATGACCACTGCAGCATCACCATGGTTATGTGATTTACATTCAGATGCTTGAAACTGGTTCCTATTTATGACGGTTGCTGTGTCCCAAGGCTATCATTTGCAACCTTCTGACAAGCAAACTCCATGGGTAAACCAGATTCACTTAACAAGCATCAATCCTGGCTATCTAACATTCTAACTCTGTTCCTTTCTCATGTCCTGTGTGTTCTCCAGGAGGTGCCTTTTTTTAAAAACACCGGTGGAAAAAACCTTACGCTAAACTGAAAAATACATTCAGCATCTCTCCGGAATTACTTCACCCCAAAAGTAGTGGAAATTGTGTCTTAGGAAACCCAGCCACCTTCCTTGAAGCCCTAACGGTGGTGGAGCAGGAATTATGGCACGGGTAAATATTAACTGACAAAAAATCCCCGGCACACTTATTTTAGCCTTCAAAATAGATCTGCCCAAGAGGAAGAAAAAAATGAACACAGGCAGGGAAATGAAAATAAAATACGGTCCTCCTGATGCAAACAAATAATGGAAATAGGCTGACGTGGCCCTAGTGGGAGCAGGGAAGCTTTGCACAATGTTGAACAACATACATGCCAATTAGCTGAATTTAGGCTGGGAAATTACATAAGGGGTATCGACGTTTTAATTGAACGGTGGGAAAAAAATCAGCATTTTGTCAAGGCTGGGCGAGAGGAAACAAACGCATAAAACTTTCAAACTGCTGATGCCAGCTTCCCCCAATCTGTCACTTTCCAGATAAGCCAGAAAAACGGTTCACCAAATTTCCAGACCGTTGAATGTTGAGTAAATCTGAGCAGCACCAGGCTGACTGCATCTTGAGCATAATCCATGGGTGTCTCACCTGAAAAGTAAACGTGTTAATGTCTCGTCGGTCCCTTTGGGAAAATTAACAGTCCTTTTCAGTCTTCTCCAGGGAAAACCGTGTAAACCAAATGTGCTTAAGCTTGATTAGGTAATCCCTCCTAATCTTTTAAACGCAGATTTAGAAAAGCGGGTTTACCGGATCCAGAAAGGCTTCTTAAGATCTTCTGCGTAGACTGCTTGGCATGTTATCTGCAGATGCTGGGGCCTGTAGATCAGCTTTATTGACCAAGCGAGGTGCGCGTAGTAAGCAACAACAAGGGTTAGTTACAAGCTCGTAAGTTTCCAGAATCGATCGCCGTTACGTCCTCGGTTATAGCTGATGGATGTTCAGAAACTCCACTTGTTTTCTTGAAATCTGGCATGGGCAATCTGCAGCCTTAGGAAGAATTTTGCTAGAGATCCCACCCCACCCGCTACTGTAGGGGTTTGGGGTGGGGACAGAGGTCACATATAACCCAACTCCAATGATTTAGAGCTTAAGGTGTGATTTCAACCAACTAGCATAGGAGACCATTGTTAAAATAACCCATGCTTTAGTGCAAGGAACCCTCAAACGTACGGGCACAGTCAGGACCAAGAATTTCTACTGCAAAGCAAGGTGGTTGTTAAATAAGTTGAACCTGAATTTATGACCTTTCTGCCCTGGTTGTTAAGCAAATCGCTGCAGTTGTTAAATGCATCACCTGGTCTTTAAGCGAATCCAGTTCCTTCCATTAACTTTGTCAGAAGCCGGCTGGAAAGATCGCAAAAAGGGATCACGCGAACCCAGGACACTGCAACCCGTCATAAATACATGCCAGTTGCCAAGCGCCCGAATTTTGATCACGTGACGTGGGGACGCTGCAACAGTCCTAGGGGGAGTACTGGTCATAAGGCACTTTTTTCAGGGCTGTTGTGACTTTGCAAGGTTGCTAAACGAATAGTGGGAAGTCAAGGACTCAGTTTAGTGCTGCAGACCAGCCTGTTCCTCCACAGCTTCTCCTGGTACCTTTCTTAGATTTATGATGGGGCCTTACTGGGCGTTTTTAAATACTAGTAGAAAAATAAGCAGGGGGGGGGACACCATAATGGCACACAATCAGTCAGAAAAGTGAGATAAACCATTAATGTTAAATGCCTTTAATCATATGGCCACTTATTTCCGTTAGCCCTTTAAATGTTTCAATTAGCGAAACCCTGGAGTTTTTTTAAATTTTAATTTTCTTCTTGTCCCGAAAAAAGAACGACAGGATTCTATATATATATATATATATTTCCTGCAGTCATTTCCCAAACTGCTGCAGTTTCATATCGCCTGATGCGATTTATCTTCTCTTTCTACCCTCCCCCTCTCCAGCCGGGCTATGAAATCACATGAAATGTGGTCTGTCATACGGCTAAGCATAGTTTGAGCCATCTTTTTCTTATTATATTAATATTGATCAGAGGTCTTCTCCTTCCGCTTTTGAAAAATGCACACTTCAAGAAGAAGAAAGGAAAGACGGAGAGTTTGATTGGCCCGGCTATAATAAGAACACAATGATCCAAAAACGTGTTAACTTTGCAGAACAGACTTTACTTTCCCGCAAATCTTCCCTTCTGCAAATGGAACAAAACAGGGAACAGCTCAGTGGCCACCAACTTGGCCTGTCTTTAAAAGGGGCCCATTCAGATGCATGCCGGTTAAGGTTCATGTTAGGCTTGTCTGGTTCCTTGTGCAAAAACATGGTTAGCATTAATAGCAAAATACACCAGTATGAAGTCCAGTATGGTTAAGCGATGGAAACTGGGGTTGTTTTCCTCTTTGTGGGATCTCCAGTAATTCTTCCTGAGGGCCTCAATTTTGGATCAGGAAGCTGAAATGGCAGAGGGGTGCATCAAGGAAGAATTTAAGCAGAAAGTTAGAAATTTGTGCTGAAATGAATTGCTGCTCTGTTTGTTATCTCTGCTATCTTTGTTCTGTTTTGTTTTTCTATTGTTAAGCATTAGTAAACTGCCCCGAGTTGCTGAGTACAGACTGGCATATAAATAAAACAAAAGGGACTTTAACTTTGCCGCACTAGGCAGCAACAGTTGGATTCACACGTTATCATGAGCCATTATGCATTTGGAGTTGGGTGACTGGGATCTGCCAGCCTGTTGTGATCGATGAATTATGGTTTCAGACTGAGCATAATGTAATTAAACACTGTCACACATTGTACTCATCAAACCACGGTCTTCTCCCCACTGCTAGCCAGAATAGAGGAACCTGAGTCAGAATTTCAGGAGTCTTTTACACAAGACACATCTCCAGAAACAACCCCCACCCCCCATCCCTTAGGCTTTCAACCACTACAATCCAGGACACCTTTAACCACAGTTTAGGCCAAAAATCCATTAAAGGAGAATAGCACTGAAGCAGGAAAACGAATCCCCCCACAAGCAGGATTTTCTTGTGTTTACGACAGAAATGTTTTCTGACAGTGTTTTCTTCAGCCTGTGGTCTTGATGGAGATCTGGTGACATCCGGTGGCTGAGCTAGCAAAAGCCTCCAGAAGGATCGCTTTTCTCTGCGAAATATCGGGCGCAGCATAAACACCGGGAAGGAAGGACAGGCTGGTTTTTTTGCATTTTGCCCGCATTTTCAGTTTCTGGAGATGTTGGCCCCCAGGGCACCAGATGGGGGAAGACAGGAAGAGGCATATGGGGCCATTGGTCGAGACGGGGGAGGGGGGGAGGAGAACAAGATTATTCCAAAATTTAAATGTCTGTATGGGGTCGCCAAGAGACGAACACGACTTGATGGCACACAGTGCAAGGAGGGAAAGACCCCTGCGAGGGCAACAGGGCAGGGTGCAAGAGATCTTTAGAAGTCATCTTCTACTTATGGGAGGCAGAAGACTTTGCAACGTTTTGCACCCAAACTCCGCGCATCGGACACGGGAACTGGCGTTCACACGACTCGTTGACCCGAATGTTGGAACTCCGGTTCCTGATGACTGCCAAAAGAAGCCAGAATCCAGGAGCCTGGAGAGGTAGCTTCTAGTTGGAGACACCCCCCCCCACCCCCGATTAGACGCGCTGGACTCCAAATCCCATAAGAGCGACGCTGGCTGGGGACGATGGGCGAAGCAGCCCGTCACCCACCCTTTCCCCATTCATAACCTTCTTTTCCCCGGATGACGTCACGGGCCCCTTCCCCTCGCGCCCAATCAGCGCCCCCGCTCCGCCCTGACCCTGGGAAAACCCCGCCCCGCCGCTCTCTCGCGCGGGGGCGAGCTTTCCTCCCGCCCCTCGCCGCTCATTGGTCCCAGAGCGCCTCGGGCCCGCCCCCTCGGCGGGCTTCTCCCCGCCTGCCCGCCGCGCCCGGCCAATCGGCGCCCGCGTCGGAGCGCGAGCGCCGCCTTGGCCTCGCCCGAGGCGGCGGCGGCGTCGCGGCCCCGCCCCTTCGGGTGGGCGTGAGGGCGAGGACGGAGGGAAGGTCGCGCGGCGGCTGAGGCGGCTGAGGCGGCGCCTTTCCCGCCCGGGCCTGTCTGAGGGGCCGCCGCCGCCTCCTCCGCCTCCTCCTCCTCCATGGCCGGGGTGGTGCGCTCCCTGGGCCGCTGCCTCTGGCCGGCGGCGGGCGGCGACCCCGAGGCGGCGGCCGGGCCGGTGGAGCCGGGCAAGGAAGGCGGCCTTCTCCCGCCCGCTGTGCCTCCTCCTCCTCCTCCTCCTCCTCCTTCTTCCTCCTCGCTCCGCCGGCGGGAGCTGGAGCGCGAGGCGCGGCGCCGGAGCCGGGAGATCGACGCGCTGCTGGCCCGCGAGCGCCGCGCCGTGCGCCGCCTGGTGCGGATCCTGCTGCTGGGCGCCGGCGAGAGCGGCAAGTCGACCTTCCTGAAGCAGATGCGCATCATCCACGGGCGCGAGTTCGACCAGAAGGCGCTGCTCGAGTTCCGCGCCACCATCTACGAGAACGCCCTCAAGGTGGGCTCGCCGCGTGGCCTCCTTTCCTCTCGGCTGGCTCGGCTGGCCACGCCCCCCCCAAGGGAAGGACTGCAGGAGGCCCCCTTGGAAGCGGAGGGGAGGAGGGGGATTAAAGGCCAGCCCCCCTTCCCCTCCCTCCCCGCAGGGTGGTATGGGGTCTCCTGGTCGAGCAGGGGGTCGGGCTAGAGGACCTCTGAGGCCCCCTCTCTCCTCTGGTTTTATGCCCTGTTATCTGCCCCGCCTTCTTCCTCCAAGGAGGGTCCTTCCAACTCCCCCCTGCAAGATGTCCTGGTGGTCACCTGTCCCCATGTTCATTGGAGACCCCTGGATAGGAAGAGGGATTTTTCCCCCCCCCCCATGCACTGATGCTCCTTTGAGAGCCCCCTCGATGTACTGAGTTCCAGTCCTGCCATGGGATCGGAAGCCAATGGGGTGATTAGGGAGCGTCCCCTCTCCCTCCGCCAAACCCACCTGGCAGGGTGGTGGTCTGCCATTGCTTTCTTCACATTTGTTTTTCCAACTTTGCAAGATTTCCTAGTGGTCTCATATCCCCCCTGTTAAGTAGAGGCCTTCAAGTTGAAGAGGGTTTGCCCCCCCCCTTGGAAAGAGGGATTTTTCCCCCTACAAATACCCCCTTGAGAGGCAGTTTGGTGTACTGGTTAACTGGCAAGACTAGAAACCAAGAGGCCCTGGGTTCCAGTCCTGCTTTGGGCATAGAAGCCAGCAGGGGATTAGGGGCCTGGCCTTTCCCTCACCTCAACCCACCTGGCAGGGTGATGATCTGCTGCTGCTTTCTTCATATTTTTTTCCCAACTTTGCGTGCAAGATTTCCTGGTGGTCTCCTGTCCACCTCTTAAGTAGAGATGCCCAAGGTTGGGTAGGGCACTCCCATATCCCAGGATGCATTTTCCCCAGCATCCACCCCCTGTGTAACGGCTAAGCAGGTGGGCTTGAACCCTGAGTTCTAGTCCTCCTGAGACTGCGAAACCAGACAGGTGATTTGGCATCCGTCTATCTGTCTTGGCCCAGCCCACCTTACAGGATTGTTGTTGCTGAAAATACATATAGACTGCATTTGTATTACCTACTAGTTAAAATTTAATTTGCAGCATCCCTTGGCTTGATCCAGAAAACCGCAAGTAAATGACCCGGGGGTTATTGTGTATGGACGCAGCCATGTTTTTATTAAAATTCCTGGAGGAAAATAATTTTTTGGAGGGCGTTACAACATTCCTTCAGAATTCTGAGTTCAGAACATTCCTTCAGAGTTCTGAGTTCAGAATACTGCTAATTCCACGTGTGCCAAAGTTATTTCTTAATATGCACAGTGCCATAAAAAGGGAGCCCAGCCTGATATACACACCCTGCTAACTGCATAGACTTGTCTTCAGAGATGGCTTTCCAGCCTGAGGGGTAAAAAAACCTGTTCTAAACCTTAGGAATCCAGACTTTTCCTCCTGCAAACCCATCCTAGGCTATTGGACTAAGCCACTGTTTTTTCCTAAGAAGGTGGGGGGAAAAATATTTGTTGCGTGGAAGGTTTTGCTGGACTTCTTCCTGTATCTTAAAAGTTGCTCTAAGGGGAAACTTACAGAAGTTTGTCTCGCCACAAGCTCGGCAGTCTGCAGGTGTTGCAAAACTGAATTCTTGCCTTCTTCACCCCAGTAGCATGGCTGTGTTGGTGGTACAGTACTTACCCACAACAAATGGGAATTTTATCTTTAAGAAAACCACATCCCGGCTTAATAATAAGGATGGAATTTGGCTCTCAAAGTTGTCTAAAATATCTTGGAATGTAGAGCAGGGGAGAGCTGGCCAAACAAAGTGCACGTGGTTATATTGGTGTGTTAAAGAGTGAGCATAGATGGGGCAGCATAAGAATTGAAGTGTATTTCTCTGTTTCTTAGGGCTGCAGAGTTCTAGTCGATGCACGGGACAAGCTCGGCATTCCTTGGCAATACGCGGAAAATGAGAAACATGCCATGTTCCTCATGGCCTTTGAAAATAAAGCAAGCATGTTCATTGAACCCTCCATGTTTCAGTTGTACGTACCAGCTCTGACCGGCCTGTGGAAGGATTCTGGGATCAAGGAAGCTTTCAGCCGTCGAAGTGAATATCAACTGGTGAGTAAACTGAAAGCTCAGAAGACAAAACATCTGGTCCCGGTAACTGACCCAGATTGGATCCTGCAGCTTCATCCTGGGACACACATTAGCTTTCATTCATAGGAGTTATTAGTCTGAAAATGTGCTGCTAGGCCCTTCCGGGTTTAAGGATTACCCTATCACTTCTGAAAGCTGCTGCTGAAAGCTTTGAGAAAACCAGGAATGGCTGCCTACCGGTAAAATTGCTTCTTAAGTAACAGATGTGGGAATTTCCACATGGGCTTTGAACTGGATCCGAACTTTGTTTTAACTGAGAAGTATATGCAAGGTGGTGAACCTATCTAACACACCTTCCTCTTCCTATTTTCCCCACAACCCTGTAAGGGGTTTGGGCTGAGACTGGCCCCAAATTACCCAGCCAGCTTTCATTCCTAAGGGTGGGACTAGAACTCAATATTTCCTGGTAATTAGCACCAAAGTCACCCAGCTGGTTTTCATGCTCAGGAGGTACCAGAACTCACCGTTTCCTGGTGACTGGCAGGAGACAGCTTTCATGCCTAAGGCAGGACTAGAATTCACCAATCTCTGGTAATTGGCCCAAAGTCACCCAGCTGGATTTCGTGTCTAAGGCAGAACTAGAACTCACCATCTCCTGGTTTATTGCCTGGTGTTTTAGACTGGCTCTAAAAGTTTCTAAAGGATGTGGGGCTTGCATCATAGTTTGAACAGTCTTGAGGAGTATTTTCCTCCTGCAAGGGCTGTACCACAAAACAGCCTAGCCTTCAAACCTATGAGCAGATCACTGTCCTAGGGCCAGAATCCTCATTACCTGCTGGAGAAATGTAAGCATGAAATGTAATCAAGATCCTAAAGAAGCTCAGTTTAATCCTCAATCAGTTTGTAAACAATCCAATGACTTGAGGCTTTGTGAAATCCATCAATTTAAGCTCAGCTGATTTTCATAGCCATGTCTTTTGGCAGCAGTACAGCCGTGCTGGCCTGCTTCGTCCTTCCAGATGTTTTTCCATTTCCCCCTTTGGCTTACTTCTGTGTTGTCACAGGATATGAGGTTCCATTAAAGAACCTGCCCCCCCCAAAGAAATTTCTATAGATCAGCAGTTAAATCACCTGCTTACCGTCTAACCCTAACTGCAAATTAAAAAGCCTAAAAATTAGTTAAAATATGAAAGATCACTTATTTGAGTAAAGTATACCAAAATCCAGGAGGTGGTACGAAGTATTGCTTCGGGGCAGATAAACTATGGTTAACCTGCTATGTAATAGAGGCAAAATCTGAGGTTCTTTGTAATTAAGTATCCTGGGTTTTTGCTGTTATCTTTTTTTTTTTTTATTGAAAATTTTATAAAATTTTACAATATAAATCCCCCCCTTCCCCTTCCCACCCTTCCACCCCCTCTCCCTCCCCCCTCACTTCCCAGTGCCAATCACAGGGTTAACAATAACATAATCATACTCAACATTAATCAACTATTAAAATAACATATCTGTAACCTCCTTTAACTCTCTTTTAAACAGTACAATTATTAAAAACAATAATAATAACAACACTTTAATAATTAAAAATAATACTAAATAAAATATTCTAACCTTTATACAACCATAATATTCCAAAATTTACTCAAAAACCAAATGATATTTTTTAGTCCCATATTTACACTCAATATAATCTATCCATCTTCTCCAAACCAAAATATATCTTTCTTGTGAGTGATCCTTCACATAAGCGGAAATCTTGGCCATTTCTGCTAAATTCGAGACTGTTATCTTGAGGAACAGTCCAGTGTAGAGAACTAAGTGGAAATTCACAACTTTTTTTTGTAGTTTGAATTTGGGTTTCTTTTGCTAACCCTGTGCCAATGTACTATCAACGTGTCAGCATCTTATTTGGAAATATATGGCTTAGCTGAAACACACACAAGGACCTTATTTTGAAAAACAATCATTTGACCATAGTTCTGTGTTACCCGTGGCCTAAAAACACCCCTTGTTCTCTTAACTTCAGTTTGTCCCAGTTGGTTTCCATTACTTCCCACTGACTCTCTTAGGTCTTGCCCATAAATGGCCAATTGTCAGGAGACGATGGTGCTGTGTTTGAACTATGTGGCGTTGGCTTGTTGGTTTATTTTATTTGTTCTGTTTTATTGACTATGATTGTGAGTCGTCTAGGATGGTCTTCTGTAAGATAGATGGCCATATAAAATATGGTAGTCTGGGGTGTGTTTGACACACTTGGCAGAGATAACACTGAGCATTTGAACTCAGAATCATCTTTCAAAAGGTGTGTGTGGGCATCCATTCGGAAAGCATGGAGCCTGTGCAGTGATAATTCTAATTTTAGGTTATAGTGAGACCTGTACTATTTATAGCCATACCGTGGCCAGAAACTGCTCATTCAGAACTATATGTCACTACATTTGTGGGGCTTATGATTTTGCTCTGGTATAAGTCATATCTATCTGGGCAGCTGGTATGCATTAAAAATATATTTATTTTCACTACTGGACCCTCTAGTTAGTACTTTTGTTTCTTAATGCAGGTAGTCCTTGACTTATGACCACAATGCAGCCCAAACTTTCTGTTGCTAAGCAAGACATTTGTTAAGTGAGTTTTGCCCCATTTTATGACCTTTCTTGACACAATTGTTAAGGAAATCACTGCAGTTTTAAGTTAACAACACAGTTGTTAAGTGAATCCAGTTCCCACATTGATTTTGTTTGTCAGAAGGTCACAAAAGGGGATCACATGACCGCGGGACCCTACAACCGTCATAAATATGAGTCAGTTGCCGAGCATCCAAATTTTGATCACCTGACCATGGGGATACTGGAACGGTCGTAGGTGTGAATACCGGTCATAAGTCACTTTTTCTCCGTGCTGTTTTAACTTCAAATGGTCACTAAATGAGCTGTTATAAATTGAGGACTACCTGTCCTCTCACGCTAAAAGGGAGTGCCCTTTTATAGCCACCTTATTAAATCAGGAAGATTTTATTTAGCATGTGAACCGCCTGAATTTTTGTACTTTGTAACTGTAAATTGGACAAGCGTTCTTCTTAAGATGAAAGCAAGAAGAAGCTCCACAGTATCGGCCCGAAATAAACAAGATAAAAAGTTGGAACGATGTTCAGATGTGGGAGCTGGCTTATTTCAGGGCTGTAGTTCCCAGTTCTGGGTTTTCTAATTCCCAGATGTGGGATGACTCATGGCTGCTGTTCAATGATGGGGACAGCACCTCCTCCTACGTTGTCCCAGTTGGCCAGACTGACTCAGAGGATGCACAAGAAGAGAGATATAAAGTGAAAATGAATCATCTATATTTGTATGTTAACTCTTTAGGTGTAAAAAAATATAAGCAATGATCTGAGAATTATCTAACATATAGTGAAACAAACTTGCAGAGCAATTGTAATTGTTTCGGGTCAAATTGTGGGGGTGTTAAATGGCTAGACTTGAACAAAGTATTATTTCCTTTGTTGTTATTTGCTTATAACAAAAACATGTTTTTCCCCAGCAATCCAAGGACAACAAAGAGGTTGTTAATGATCTGAAGACATTGTTGATGTGATGGAAGGCTTCAGAATTGCCTGGAATTTTGTTTAATCCTAGTCAAATCAGATAAGAGCACTAGATCAAACTAGAACTAGATCAAGTTGGATTAAATCGTTCCCATTTAAGATCTGACATGTAAAAATTGTGGTTTAATCGTGCTGAAGTTTTGGATTTTATTTAGGAGTTATGATTGTTTGTAGATCTGATGGTTTTGTGTACTACCAATATATAGTAATTGCCACAAATGCTGACTGGCATGAACTCTTGTTGTTGAACAGAAGAAACAGAAAGACAAAAAAAACCTCCAATAATACAGCTAGAAAAAAAATTGCTATGAGGGACATTCGCAAACAGCTACAGCTGAAATTGGAATATATTTTACCTGCTTGAGAAATACAAGAACGGAGGGACCATATGTAGCTCTAAGGTCCAAGATTTGTGAACTTCAACTCCCAGAATTCCCCAAGCAGCTATGTTCTAAGCCTAGGGAACAGTAGTCCTTCTATGGAGATAACCTGAAAACAGTCTGGGATCTTCAAGTGGATATTGTGTGCTTTACTGGAAACCATATGAAGGTTGCTTTATCTTGTAAACAGTCAGGATAAACAGAGAGCAGTTGACTTCTGTATTGTGTTTTTCACTTTATAAGAAAAAAAAAAATCCCTGCTTAGGTTTTGAGGAAACAAATGAAAGAGCCATTGTATTATAACACAAGAATCTATGGCCTATCCTAAGGGCAATAAAGACAAAGCTATTTTATTTTACAGCCTGCTATGGAAATTCTCTTCCCCAAAGTGGTGTACACAGCTCTAGCTTGGCTTACAGACTGTTCCATAAAGGGATCATTACGAGGCAGAGCCAAGCAGTGTAAATAGATTTCCAAAGGTTGATTTTTCCAGATCAGAGCTCTGGTTCTGAGGCAGTATAGCCAGTTCTGTGACGATGCACTTGTGCTGTAGTTTAAACGAAGGCCTTCTGCTTTGCAAAAACAGCTCCTTGATTGCCTTGTAGTTGGATGATTCTAAAACTCTCTTAAGGCTGATTTAAGTTGACCCCAAAACTTCAGTTGGTACAGAACGCAGCAGCTTGCACGCTGGCAGATGAGAAGCATTTCAGCAGAGGATATTTTGGGCACTGTATTGGTTGCCAGTATCTTTCCAAGTACACTTCAAGGGGTATTAAAATCCTGATGTGGTGAAAACGTGGCTTTTTCAGAGGAATATTGTGCACTAAGTCTTCAGTGTGTTTTAACCATGGGATGTTTTAATCTAAATATAACTCTCTGAGCTGCTCAGAGTTTGTTGAAGTAGGCAGGATGTAAACCATAAGTAAATATACTCTTCTTCTCTTTCTCAACAGGGTGAATCAGTAAAATATTTCCTGGATAATCTGGATCGGATTGGCCAGTTGGTGAGATTTTCTGTTTGTGTTGTTTTGTTCTCATACATTCAAATCATATAAATAAGAGAAGTAATAACATTGGGAAATGTTCCTCAAAATCATAAGAACTGAATGTTTGAACGTCTAGATTTAGTAAATAATCTCTCTTCTAAAGCAGAGTAATCATTTCTTATACGTGGGAGCTCTTATTCTTGCTCTGGGGGAAAAGTATGTTTTGTGCCCACTGTTTAAAAAAAAACCAAGGCATGAATACATCCATTGTTCAAACAAACTCCCTGTAGTAGCAGTGAGATTTTGCCAATCTCAGCATCAGCGAAATCTAGTTTATCAGGAGCTCTGGATTTTATTGCATCTGTTGAAACTGCGGCACGTAACTTCAGAGGCTACGGAAACCAGGCTGCAAAGGTTTGTAAATTATTGAAATTCATCCTTCAGATTAAGTTTGCTAACCACCACTTCAAGCAGCCAAATACAAAATAGTGAAAATAACCTGAGATAAAGTGAGCTCTTTCCACAAACCCCAACCTTGGCATCTGAACAGCCCACGCAAGATTAGCCTCTAGCTTACCCTTCCCCATTTCAGTTCCAGAATCTTCCTTCCACCATAGTATATCTAGACGCTACTTCGGTGGATTTAACTTCCCTTTTGAAGCGTGATCTTTCTCCTACTTCCTGTGTCTTTTTCTTTTTTTCCTGCAGAATTATTTCCCCAGTAAACAAGACATCTTACTGGCTAGAAAAGCGACCAAAGGAATCGTGGAGCACGACTTCATTATTAAAAAGATCCCTTTCAAAATGGTGGACGTGGGTGGACAGAGGTCTCAGCGCCAAAAGTGGTTCCAGTGTTTCGATGGCATAACCTCTATACTGTTTATGGTCTCCTCCAGCGAATACGACCAGGTCCTGATGGAAGACCGACGCACAAACAGACTAGTGGAGTCCATGAACATCTTTGAGACCATTGTCAACAACAAGCTCTTCTTCAACGTCTCCATCATTCTGTTTCTGAACAAAATGGACCTCCTGGTGGAGAAGGTCAAGACGGTCAGCATCAAGAAATATTTCTCAGACTTCAGAGGTGATCCTCACCGTCTGGAAGACGTCCAGCGCTATCTGGTACAATGCTTTGACCGGAAGAGGCGGAATCGCAGTAAGCCCCTTTTCCATCACTTCACAACCGCCATCGACACCGAGAACATCCGCTTTGTTTTCCACGCGGTGAAGGACACCATCCTTCAGGAGAACCTTAAGGATATAATGTTGCAGTGAGTGAAGAGGGAATTCTCTCCCTGGAATCCTAGCCCGATGTAGGCCCATCGCTGTGGCTTTTGCTGTGTGTCTTTTCTTGGAAGAGCCATGCTGTGCCTTGAGTTAGGAAAGCTGGGCAGGAGAAGCAGAAGTAGAAGAATGGCAGAAGTTTATGTGAGCTCTTGCATCGGTCAACTCAAAACACAACGGAACGATGTTTCCTCTTGGCTTTTGGAAACCCTCGTGGCGAAATGGCAACCAAGGTGTCTGCGTGAATTAATCTTATTCTACGACAATGCCAGAATGTTCTGGCTTCCATACCTGTCAGCCTTAAACTAGTTTTGGGTGCTGAAATAATGAATTCAGTAACATAGTTCACTTCTTCACTGGGGGTTCTTTTTAAGAGAATACATTGCAATACATTGTTATAATTCCAAGATCAATATAGGAGCCAGGTGTGTACACAAGAGGTCCGCCAACATTTGGATTGTATTTGCAACTGGTTATCTTAGCTCTGGCTTAAGGAATCTGTCTTCAGCTTTCCTCATGTAGAAATCCAGAGTTGGAAACTGAATTTAGACAGTCATACGAGCAAAACATTTTTTTTATAGCAAGATATATCAAAGCTGGTTAGGTATCCAAAGCAGTTACTGCTTGATGAGACATAGCTTCAGCAATAGTAGTGAAAATACACGCCTAGTGCTTTGTTAAAACATCTTTGATTCTGTTTAAAATTAGATCTGTATAAAAAAAAATCCCTCACTGCAACTGTTAGGCTGTTTCCTGTCTAACACAGAAGTTAATCCAATTTTTAGATAGGTCTTGGCAAGGAACAACTGCCCATAGCACTGTAGTGAATTGCTCTTTAAAAAAAAATTCAGTCTTTTGGAGCCACTGAGTTTGGATTAATGGTCTTGCTTTGAGTTTATTCTTAATTATATAGGGGTTTACCAATGTATGTCATAAATGCATTTTTTAAAAATCCACATAAACCTGACACATGTAATTCGCCCCTTTAAGGCTAGAATACAGTATGTGTGAATTTGCAGAAGGCTGTGAATAACATTGATGTGAGCTTATTTTTTTCATTCTAAAACGTTATATTTAACTATGGGTGCCTTTCTTTTTTGTACAGACAGTTCACACTTTTGTCTACTCTTGAGGTATGTATTAATCAACCTTTTGTCCTGCCTTATCCATCCTACAATCATTATTCAGGGATAATCTTAAACATAAGAAATGTTTACTGTGACTTTGGTACCATATTTTGTAATAAAACCGAAGGGCTTCATCTTTCCTATATCAACTTCTTCTGCATTGCCCTTTGCGGACAATCAAATGCAAGGCCATTTTCTAGGCGCTGATAGCACAAATAATAACCAGTTTAAAAATCTTTCGTGACTTCCAGTTAGGGGAATTCTTGAGAGTTTTTTCCCCCTTGTGGGTGGATTACTCACACAGCCGTGTTTTCGGTGTGGTGTGCCCCATTCTAAAGGCCACACTTTCCATTTTGATAGTATGTTTTGTGCAAAGTTGAGCTGTTTCTGAGATGAGGGCTACCTTGGTTTCCAGGTCTTAAGTAAGACAGACTTAACCATGAAAAGCCACAGACTTCAGCTTTGGAGGCAGTTTCTTTTAAGAGCTTACCTATGAACGCACCTGGAAGCAGTTAACATCTGGAATCCGTTATTTTACCATTTCTGAATAAGATGTTGCCTTTTGCCAAGAATCAGTTTTGTCAGCGGAAAACGGTTGTCTGGTGACAAGGGGAAAGGCATCTTAAGCTTGATGGTCAGTTGGGCCTTATTTTATAATTAGAGCTAATGCTATATTTATCCTTTGGAAATCCTAAAGTGGCCCAGGGACTTCTGATACATTTGTTGGAAGAGTAATCTTGCTATGGGGAAGGGCCCAAACTCTATGAAATTCAGAAACATCATAATGGCACATATGTACATATTTTAATTCATTTCTTTGCCAGTGGTTTCTGTGTAGCTGGAATTTGGTGTGTCCGGTAACATGACTTCTAACACTTTCTCTCCAGTAGTAGCACAAACCACTTTACAAGTACTTAAAACCTGAATTATGCTACCAGTCACCTTTTAAAGTGGTTTTGAAAGAACAAGGTGCTAATATACTGTATTTATCAAAACTTAATTTTATTCTTTTTTCTATTGTAGAAGCATGCCTTGCTGAATGTAATATACAGCTCTATGTTTCTTTGATACCAAATAACAAGTTTGTGGTATAACAGAGCTCCGTACTGAGGGAAATAAATGTGGTGATTATCACAGGTTTTGATAGACAGATAAATCTTTAATTGTCTAATCCACCCAGTGGGCCGTGCAGTCGATTTCTATTGCTTTTAGGAGGTGATTAATATTTTTATTCCTTTGCCCTACCATTGTATGCTTATTCTCATGACTCTAATCATCTTCTTTAGGACTGTAATTGACATTTAATATCTAAACTCATTTTTGTGGTTGCCACATTCATTGTATACCAGTCAGTCTTGGGTAGATACATTTAACAGTAAAGGCCAGCTCTAATTCTGCTTGCTAGTCAGTCCTAAAAAAAATCTATATTGTACAGCACTTGCATATATAACGTAAGCACATCCTCTAATCATGTTTGACCGTGGTCACTTTTCCTGTACATTGTTAGGATTAACAGTCTCTTTTTTTTCTCAATCCAGTGCAGAATTATTACGTGTTCTTTAGCTCAGGGGTCTCCAATCTTTGTGGTTTGGTGGCCCAGCTGGGGGGGGGGAGAGGGAAACCGGGCCAGGTGACCGGCAGGCCGGCATACGTGTGCAGCTCAACATGTGCGCAAGTTCAGCTGCACACACAAATTGACCTGCGTGTGCATGTGCACACGTGCTAGCTCGCACAAGAGCTGTGTGCCTGCATGCATGCCGGCCCACCGCCCGCGTGACCCAGTAGCAAATAGGCCACAGCCCGATAGCGGGTCACAGCCCGGGGGTTGAGGACCTCTGTTTTAGTCATCTAAGCACTGCTTCTTTTTTTTTTTTTTTTCCTGACACAGCCACAATGCTTTTCAATCTAATTGCCTTCGTTCCAACCCAATGCCCAGATTGTTCTCTTCCAGGCACACTTGGAAAAAGGAAGGTGGGGGGGGGAGCAAATTTGCAGACAGAGCATTTGATTGTAACGGTCCCGACCAGCCAGGAAGTGGGTCGTATACAGGACAATCGACTTTGAATTTATACTCCGTATGTTTTGCACCAGTGAGTTGCACAGTTTGTCCTTTGTCCAAAGAAGCCTCTGTACGACGTATAATTCTGTGTACTTAGTCATCTTGGCCAGGAACCAAGAGGAAATTCGGTGTCTGTCAGCCCACATGTAGACACATCCACATCAAGACGATTTTGCATGAGAATTGGTTTCGTGTAAGCTCGGCAGAAGAACGGTTTTGGAAAACATGAGAAGGTTGGGTTGTGGTTTTTGGTGTTGTTTTGTTTTTAATTTCACGAAATGGAAGCTGCAAGGAGGACGCTTCAAGTTTCGTATTTTGTTATGTGAGCCAAGCTCAAGTTCATATAGTGACCGTTCAGAGTTGCAGTGGCACTGAAAAAAGTGATTTAAAGACCGTTTTTTCACACTTATGACCATTGCAGTCTCCCCAAAATTCAGACCCTTGGCAACTGACTCATATTTATGAACAGTCCCAGCATCCTGGGATCATGTGATCCCCTTTCGCAATCATCTGACAACGGGGAAGCAAACTCCCTTAACAAATGCCTCGCTTAGCAACAGGAATGTTGGGCTCAGTTGTGGCCGTAAGCCGAGGACTGCCTGTAGAAAGTTTCCAATTTAATAGAGAGCTTCTGAAACAAGGGAAGCAGGAATGCCATCTGAGGCAGGAGGAGCAAGTCTTAACCTCTTTCTCTGCTCTTGTAATGAAAATGTATTTCCCATCGAAAATAATAACTGGGTGAAGTGCCCTCAGATGCTGTTTTGCTGTTTTATCAGTGGGGTCATTTTTTTCCCCAAATTAAAGAAACTTCCAACCACAGGCTGAACGGTTAGCTAAGGCTTGGCTCGTTGCCCATACTATGCTGCAACTCGCTTGGAAATTGCTGCAGTCCACTTTAAACACACACAAATACACACACACACACACACACGCATACACTGACCTCCTTGGTTAGCATCCTGGAGGTGAGCCAGAAATTGTTTGGAAATGTGGAGGAGGAGTAGACCTGGTTTCCAAATTAAGTTTTTCCACGACTATTTGCTTAAACATTGACAGCCTGTGTCTCCAGAAACAAAATGCCATCAGCAAAGTCCTTGTTTTTTTGCTGGCTATCTTTAGAGAAAGGGTTTGATGGCTTCTTAAGACAATCTCTTGACATCTGGTAACTCCTAGGCTATTTTATTTTGCTGGCCTCTTTGTTGATAATGGGAACATTCAAACTTTCTCTTACGTAGTGTTAAAAGATCTTGGCTGTAGTGAAGGCCTATTAAACTTCCTGAAAGTTAATGCAGTGTATCCCTTTAGAAGGGCACGCTTAACCATCATGCCTCTATGTACCTTAAAGCAGTATTTTACAACCTCAGTAAGTTTAAGAGTGGTGGACTTCAACTCTCAGAATTCCCTGGCCAACTTTTCACAAAGCTTCAGATTGTTCATTGACCCTCAAACATTTATTGGATGGAAATTGTTTACTATTCCCAACTAATGGTACTATCACTCTGATAGCAATTAATCAAGGGAATAGCTTGCCTCTTGGAGCGGTGGATGCTCTATCACTGGAGATTTTTGAAAGTAGATTAGACAGTCATTTGACTGGGATGGTCTAAGATCTGCCTTGAGTGGAGGGTTAGACTAGAAGACCTCCCAGGTCCTTTCCATTGACCTCTTGGACAGTCCCATCAACCTCTGAGGTCAACATTGATCCACTTTGGAGAAACCTGGACCAACGAAAGACTTTCCTGAGTCTTCAGGCTCAAACAGCATCCTATGCAGCATTCTGCATCTTATGAACTTGTATGAATAGTTGGGGGTAGGACAGGCATGGGTTCAAGCCTTAATTTCCTAAGTTCCACAGAGTCCGAATTTTGTCATCAAGCCGAAGTGGATGTGCCGTAACTGCTGTCGCTATCTGGCATTGTCTGTGCTTTTCAATTGTTCTATTTTATACACGTTGAAAAGGGAATCTGTGATCTTTTGTGGCCTCTTTTTTTACAGCGATATTGTCTTTTCATGAAAGTGTGCTATTAAAATACCGTGGTGTAAAAATGTACGGCTTCATTTTGGATTGGCTGTTTTGTGCATACCAATTTTGTAAATGCGTTAAAACATGATTAGTTATTACCGTGCTTTAGACTCTGCCAAACAATTTGAATTCTGCTGGGAAGCAGCAGTTGCAGTGGACGGGACAGCAACTAGTGGTCTTAGAAATGCACAGCCTGCAGATTTTATTTAATATAGCCATGATCACCATTAGGTCAACATCATCGCTGCAAAACCCACCCCCTTCTGGCACTGATGATGTTACCTAGCTGGGTCTTGAAACGCCTACAAGAAAACAACCAAGCTCAGAGAGCACCAAGAGAGAAAAAACTTGAATAATTCTAAATTGGCTGAGCAGGATTTGTATTCTGCCTTTTGCCTAGAGCACACCAATGGCAATGAATACTAAAAAAAAAAAAGGAATAGAGATTGTGAAATAAATGGCAGCGTTTTTATTCCGTCTCCCTTTCTGAGCGCATCGCAGCCATCTGTTTGCAAAATGAACGTGAGTTTTATATGCAGCGAAATGTGTAAATCTGTCTATTAATGGGTTGAACAGATGGGGGAGATTTGGAGGATCACCTCCTTCCTTTCTCTCCCCTTATTTAACTGGGGTTGTAATAAAAAGAAGAAGGCTTGGTGAAGTGTTTTACTGCTGGGTTCCCCAACCAGGGCACTTTCTAGATGGGTGGATTTCAACTCCCAGAATTCCCTAGCAGTAGGGCTATTGGTGAGAGTTCTGGGTGCCGAAGGCCACACTGCTGAAAATGGCCAAGGTTGGAAAATCTTGGTCTGCTGCAGCGTTCCTCAACCTGGGCAACTCTCAGGACGTGTGGACCTCAACGCCCAGAATTCCACAGCCAGCATGGGTGGACTTCAACGCCCAGAATTCCCTAGCAGTAGGGCCATTGATGAGAATTCTGGGTGCCGAAGGCCGTACGGCTGGAATTGGCCAAGCTTGGCAAACATAGGTCTGCTGCAGTGTTTCTCAGCCCTTGGGACGTTTTAAGAGGTGTTGGACTTCAATACCCAGAATTCCCCAATCAGCACTTCGGTGAAATGCTTCAGCATAAATAAAGCCTCAGCTCTTCTGATCGTTGATATTAGAGGAGAATGGAAGCCGGTGTCAATTCATTTGCGAGATAAGTAGCTGCTGGCTGTGCGATGAGTCGGGTCCGGTTCTTGCAATATAGAAGAATGAATGCATTTGGCTTCTCGTGCACAAGAGGGGTTTTTTTTCCAGCCCTGTGCCAAATTAAACTAGGAGCAAGCAGGAGGCAAAACGCCTGTGCAGGCGCCCCAACCCAGCAGCTGTTTTTGCAAAGAGATGCCAGAAAGATTTTCTTCCCTTGCAAAAAAAAAAAAAAACACCAGTTGCTATAGCAACCCCCCAGTCCTGCAAACCCTTTTGCTAGCTGATGGGGGAGATGCAAGCTTATTTTTGATCCGGCTTCTCTGTTCTTCGCTAATTTATTTTTATTTTTTTTTAATCAAAGTATGTATTTGTAAAATACTCTTTCTCCCCTGCCTGCATTTGATCCTCTGTGGCCCCTGGTGTTTTCCCAACGCTAGATCAGCTTGCCGGTATTTTTTCTGCTTTTAACCTGCAAAGAAGAATGTGTAACGTAACGTCTGTCACAGAAGCAATTAAAGCAATATTTAACCAACTGCAAGAGTAACCGTAAGGCTAAGGCAGCCTCAGCGCTTGCTTTTTCCTGAAAGATACATTGGGGTTGAAAGCACGGAGTCAAAGTTGATTATATTTGTTCACGTTAAGCTTATTCTTTTCGGATAATAGTTAGGCAGTGTGATATACCTTATGTATGTCTAAGTCTCATTGACTGCTATACGGTCTATTCTAGCAGCTGTGTATCTGGCTATTTTAATTAGGAAGTCTTTGGGTAGAAAAATCAAGATTGGTTTTAGGTCAGCCTCTACAAAAGTGCTAATTCTACACTTCCTTGCACAGTCCTTAAAACAGGTTTCAAGTTTACAGTCTATTTTAATAAAGATTACTTGTGGGGAGAAGGGAAAAGAACCCCCTTTTCAGA